CTGGCCTGGTGTTGACCTTGTGGGCGGGGCTGCTTCCGGCCCAGCCCCACCTCCCACCAAGGCACTCTGTTAGGGGCGCCAAGGCAGCCCTCTGCGGGGCTCAGCCTTCCAACCCACAGCCTGCCCCTCAGCCCGCCCCCAGATTGGGTGGCGTGACTCCCCCCTACAAAAGCTCAGAGTTTCCAGCAGCAGCTTCCTCTGAGTCTGGTGCAGCTGGGGCCAGAGTTGAGGAACAGAATCTTGCTGAGCCCTGCCCAGGCCCTCCCGCTGGGGTCAGGAAATTTGGAGGATGAGGCCCTTCAGCCCTGAGGTCAGCAGGGACAGGTGGGCCGACTGGTGGGTATACAGGAGGGTTGGGCTGACCTGTCCTTGGTGGCTGAGCATCTCTTCTTCCAATGGCTGGCCAGGATTCCTAGGGGAAGAGACAGGAAAGGATCTCCCCCCATCAGTCAGGTCAGCCTGGGGGCTGAGGGCCTGTCTCTCAGCCGCTCTTCTCAAAACAGAAGTCATGGCTTCTGTGGCTCTTGGGGAAGGGGATTGGTTAGCGTAGGCCAAGGCAAAGCCCACGAGAGACAAGAAGGCAGAGGCCCCACCCTCGAGGCAACTGTGTGCCCACCAGTGGCAGCGCTCCCCCTACATGCCTTTCCTTTGCCCTCTGACCTCCCTGAGCCCTGAGCCAAGGTCAATGTTTACCCAAAGTGGAGCAGGGATGGGTTAATAAGCAAGGGGCTTGGCCTGCCTTCTCTAAGCAGGGGTAAGAGAGTTCAGAACCTGCTCTCAGCTTTGCCTCCCCTGACCAGGTTTCCCTAGACCCATCCTCTGCCATGGCAGTCCAGCTGCTTCCCACCTACACCCTCTTCCTGAGCTTGCTCAGCACGGCTAAAGGCTCCAGGAGCCCCATGGTACCCAACCAGCCCTTCACCACCATCTGGAACGCAAACACGCAGTGGTGCCTGGAGAAGTACGGCGTGGACGTGGATGTCAGTGTCTTCGATGTGGTGGCCAACCCGGGGCAGACCTTCCGCGGCCCTGACATGACCATTTTCTACAGCTACCAGCTGGGCACCTACCCCTACTACACGTCTTCCGGGGAGCCTGTGTTTGGTGGCCTGCCCCAGAATGCCAGCCTTGAGACCCACCTGGCGCGCTCCTTCCAGGACATCCTGGCTGCCATCCCTGCGTCCGACTTTTCAGGGCTGGCGGTCATCGACTGGGAGGCGTGGCGCCCACGCTGGGCTTTCAACTGGGACACCAAGGACATTTACCGGCAGCGCTCCCGGGCACTGGTCCGAGAGCAGCACCCCGACTGGCCAGCTCCTGAGGTGGAGGCAGCAGCACGGAACCAGTTCCAGGAGGCTGCACAGGCCTGGATGGCGGGCACCCTCAGGCTAGGGCAAGCACTGAGGCCTCGTGGCCTCTGGGGTTTCTATGGCTTCCCTGACTGCTATAACTATGACTTTCTAAGCCCCAACTATACTGGCCAGTGCCCACCAGGGGTCAGTGCCCAGAATGACGAGCTGGGGTGGCTGTGGGGCCAGAGCCGTGCCCTCTATCCCAGCATCTACATGCCCGCAGAGCTGGAGGGCACGGGGAAGGGACAGATGTATGTGCGGCATCGCATAGGTGAGGCATTCCGTATGGCTATGGGTGTTGGGGACCCCAGTCTGCCGGTGCTGCCCTATGCTCAGATCTTCTATGACTGGACGAACCGCTTTCTGCCCCTGGTGAGTATCCTATGACCCCACCCACCTTGTAGCCTACCTTGTCAGGCATTAGATCCAGTAAGGGAGGCCACACAGCCTTGGGGCACTTTTGTCCATTGTGCTCCATTCCTTGAGTTCCTACTGGGTGCTAAGCTCTGTGCTCGGCAGTGTTTTGGCCTTCATCACAAAGATGGAGTGCCTGCTGCATGGCACTCACAGGCTACAGTGACAGGCTTGCCTCTTGCCATGGGAGACCAGGGTGGCCCCCGGTGGGGGTTATGAGTTATTTGTCCCATCCAGTGGTGTTACAGCAATCTGCTGTGGGGGATGGGGAGGAGGAAAGCATCTCAGAGCTGTGCTGTCCCTTTCCCCAGGATGAGCTGGAGCACAGCCTGGGGGAAAGTGCAGCCCAGGGAGCAGCAGGAGTGGTGCTCTGGGTGAGCTGGGAGAACACAAAAACCAAGGTAAGCTCAATGAGCCCAGGATGAGGGGTTAGGGTGGGGGCAGGGGTGGAGCTGCCAGGCTGATTGGGAAGACCCTGGCCTGCCCTTTCTATCCCTGCAGTCCTGGCTGGGACAGCAGGCCTGGGGCCTCAATGCCCTAGGTAGGCCCATGCACTATTGTTGTGTGTTCCTGATGCTCCTCCTCCCACTCAGGAATCCTGCCAGGCCATCAAGGAGTACATGGACACCACACTGGGGCCCTTCATCCTCAACGTGACCAGTGGGGCTCTTCTGTGCAGTCAAGCCCTGTGCTCAGGCCATGGCCGCTGTGCCCGGCGCCCCAGCCACCCTGAGGCCCTCCTCATCCTCAACCCCACCAGTTTCTCCATCCAGCTCGCTCGTGGTGGCCGGCCCCTGAACCTACAAGGTGCCCTCTCACTTGAGGATCAGATGCGGATGGCTGTGGAGTTCCAATGTCGCTGCTACCGTGGCTGGAAGGGAGCACGGTGTGAGCAGCAGGGCACGTAGTGACTGGTCATACACCAGGATACACACATGGAGCCCCCTGTTTACCTTAAAAATAAATTAGTTATTTTACCAGCAAAAATGGGTTTATTTGGGAACAGGAAAGTAGTGCCATTTGGGACATGTGACCTGTTGCAAAACCACGGGCAAGTCTGGAGAACAAAGAGGAGGAATGCTATTTTATAGAGGAAAGGGGGTAGTTGGAAGGGCCTGTTACAAACAGAAAATCCACTGGAGTAAACTGGGTGTTTGAAGGGTGGTGGCGATGGCTTTTCATTGAGTTATGAGGCTCTTGTTGGCTGGGCTGTTGTCAGGTGATGAGAAAACCTTTCCTCGCATTGCAGGAGTAAAGTAGGCTCCTTCCTGTTGGGTCTGCAAAGGGCTGCAAGGAGTGATATGTCTGAGTTCCCCCTTCTAGCCTCTCGACTCCACTTTATTTTATTTTTAATTAACTTATTTGGCAGAAGGAGAGAAAGAGCAAGCACACAAGCAAGGAGAGCAGCAAAGGGAGAGGGAGAAGCAGGGTCCCCGCTGAGCAAGGACTCTGGGATCATGACCTGAGCCGAAGGCAGACACTTAACCGACTGAGCCACCCAGGCGTCCCTCGACTCCATTTTAAATGTTTTCTTTATTTGATTTCACAGCCTAATGCAGTCTGAGCCTGGCCACAGCTTTCTGAAGTACAAGCTATCACACAAGCCATGGTCACAGTCAGGAGTACTCTCAGAGACCATCAACACCACATGCCTGCACCTGCACACGTTTACAAGCCAGGATAGCTGAAGGGGTTAGAGCCTCCAGCACCCACCCAGCAGGGTCATAAACATCTCCAGAGACACTGAGCCCAGTCTTTAAGCTGTAGCAATCATGACAGTGTAGCAAACTGACATTCACTGGGGACCTACTCCTCCCCAAGTCCTGTGTTAAGCATTTTAAGTGGACTAACTCATTCAATCCTAACATGACGTTGTGAGGAAACAGGCACACACTGAAAGGGTAAGCACTTTGCCCAAGGCTGCACAGCCAGAAAAATAGAGAAGCTTAGGTGGAACCCAGGCTGTCTAGCCATAGAGGTAAAGCCCTTTGGCTCCTCCTGTGTGTTGACAGTAACCAGACCTGCACGCAACCTGAACCTGTTCACAGGTACCAGCCTCGCAAATGAAGCAGACATGATTCTTGCTTCAAGAGCTATTAAGTGCCTAAAACGTACACGCTCTGGGATGCAGAGAGCACAGGAAAGGCTCGTCTCTCACTCTGTCCTGATGTCTGTCCAAGGACGGCTGCTTCCGAGGATGGGACCCAAATTTCAGGAGGAAGCTCCGTTTCTACACAGGACCCTTTTACCCCTGGAGGCCAACGGGGTCCGAGACGCGCCTGAGCCTAGGGTGGGGCAAGACGAGGCGAGGCGGAAGTAGAGCCAGGTGGAGGAGGGGCCCACCCGGTCAAGGATTTGGCTAGATGGATCCCGGCAAGGCATCGGCCGAACGGAATCCGGGAGGACCTAAGCGGTGCCCAGGAGCCAGAGACTTGCTCTGCATTGGGCAGGGCACGTCGAGGAGGAGGTGGAGCCTGCGCCGGGTCACAGCGTTGCTGCGCACCGAGCCGGGAGCTGTGGATTAGCAACGGCAGGAGAGACAGAGGCGGAGCCAGGGCAAAGACCCGACCTGCGTCGGCCCCGTGTTATGACGCGCTGGACCGGGGGCGGAGCCTAAGCGATGACGCGCGGAGGCGGGGTGGGGTCTGGCAGCCTAAAGAAAATCCGGACCAGGTGGGGCGCTGCTGGCCGCGACCGCTGCAGTGCGTCCGCCGCACCACTAGGGGCCAGCGCGGACGGTCGGAAGAATCCAAACCACAGAGCGAGAAACCGGCCAACGCGGAGCGAGGACGCGGAGCATCCCAGATCTTGCCTTCAACATGTCAGTACCTCCCTCTTCCCACGCGCAGCGTGTTCGTCCTCAGTGTCTCCCGTCCGCCCCACGCGTGCGGTCCTCAAGTGGCTATGCCGCCCCGCACGCCTTCCCTGCGTCTGTCGTTCCCTCCCAGAGCATGCCGAGCCACACCCACCCAGAGTCCAACTCCCGAAGCAACTCCCCCCCCAAAAAGCTCCACGGTTTGTCACCCACTAGGAGGGAGGGGGAAACAGCCACAGGACAGCCTTGCCGCCTCTCCCTGAGAATACGGGAGCCCCGCCCACAGTAGGTGGGGTCGGCACTGAAAGGGTTAAACCCGCGGGGACGTCTGGGGTTCCAAGCCTGCGGGCGGGTCCTGGGGCTTCCTCCCTCTAGGTCCGGGGCTGCGGCTGCTGAGGAGGTAGCTGATGCAGGTGAGGGGCTTATAGCCCTCTGTGTGATATAGTGTGTGGGGGTGGGGGCTCCGACCTGGGCATGACCAGTGTGGAATTGGCCTCAAGCTCAGGGGACCTTCTTGGGAAGGTGGGGAAGGGAGCCAGGACGTCCTCTCTGGAGCAGGTGAGTAAAAGCGTGCGGCCTAGCGGATACCCCGCCGCCAGAAATCCCCCAGCATAGACCCTCCTGGCAGCAGGGCCTGGGGTCGGATGGGCAAACAATGGGATTTAGGCAAACAATGGGATTTAGGCGCAGGAGGTTTGAGCCCCCAACCTGGTGGCCGTTGGACACCCTTGTGGATTTAGGAAGGAAGCTGTGGTCCTTATCTAGGGTGACTACGAAACTCAGGCCAGGGGGGAACCAAGCCTGCAAGAGCCACATTGCTGTGGGACTGTGAGCCAGGCCCCTTGCCAGTGTTGTTGGGGCCCCATCTGAAGGGACACTTGCATCTTTGCCCAAGCAAAGTGTCCTGAGCTGCACAATGTCGGGGAGGGGCCAGTGGACTCTGTGCTGCAGGCAGGGAAGGCAGTTCAGGGAAGGAAATCCGATCCTAAGGGGTGGGTGAGTCGTGCCTCAGGATTGCTCAGGTGGCAGGCATGGCCCAAGCAGCGAAAAATGCTGGGACCAAGAATGTAGGGAAAAGGAAGGGACAGAGAGCTCCTGGGGTTAGCTGTGTTTCCTCCAAAGAGAATTCTGAATGGTCTAAAGTAGGGGGTCTTGGTGTCTAGTTTGCATGTTCTGTCTGATGGCCAGCCAGCCATGGTGGTAGGACTAATCCACTGTCCTGGGGAAGACAAAGTTGTAGCCACAACAGGCTGGAGCCAGGACTTTTGGGTCCTGCCCCAGCCTTAGCCTTTAGCCTCCCTCCAGTGTGGGGCTGGACACACTGGATCTGTTTCCTCTGCTGTCCACCTGAGTCAGGTATAGGGGATGGTCTCCAGGTCACCTGTGTCATCAGGTGAGTATAGGGACAAGGTATAGTTTAGTAGTTGCAGGATGCTTGGGTTCCCTAGCACTCTGTCAGCCCCTCCCTGCCCCAACCCTGTCCTCCCTCTTGGTACAGCTAATGTGGCTATTGTCCATAAGAGGAGCACCTTTGTGGTCCGAGGAAATACCACTGTCTGGAAACCGTGCTCTTAATCCCTAGCTCTCCACTGAGCCACCTGCAACCCAGCAGGGTATGACCTTGGCTCCCAGCCTGACTTAGCTGAGCCTAGATCCTACATGTAGGCCAGAGCTCACTCTGAGCCCTGGCTCCCCAAAACTGACCCCTACCCTAGACCGTGCACACCAGATAGAGCTGATCTTGAGTACCAGCCCAGCCGAGCTGACTCTGGATCCTGCATGCCAGCCAGAGTTGACCCTGAGATCCAACCTGGCCGCGCTGACCGAGGATCCTGCACACCAGAGCTGACCCTGAGCCCCAGGCTAGCTGAGCTGACCCCGGGTTCTGCATGCCATCCAGAGATGACCCTCAGTCCTGGCTCCACTGAGCTGACCCTGGATCCCGCACACCAGCCAGAGGAGACCCCAGCTCCCAACCTGGCTGAACTGACCCTGGAGCCTGTGCACTGCCGACCTGAGCTCCTGGATGCCTGTGCTGACCTCATCAATGAGCAGTGGCCCCGAAGCCGAGCCTCCCGCCTGCACTCCCTGGGCCAGTCCTCAGATGCCTTCCCCCTCTGCCTGATGCTGCTGAGCCCCAGCCCCACACCCGAGTCACTCCCCATTGTGGTGGGTCATGCCCGCTTATCACGGGTGCTGGACCGGCCCCAGAGCCTCTTGGTGGAGACAGTGGTGGTGGCCCGGGCTCTGAGGGGCCGTGGCTTTGGCCGCCGTCTTATGGAGGGCCTGGAGGTTTTTGCTCAGGCCCGGGGCTTCCGCCGGCTGCACCTCACCACCCACGACCAGCTGCAGTTCTACGCCCACCTGGGCTACCAGCTGGGTGAGCCTGTGCAGGGCCTGGTCTTCACCAGCCGACGGCTGCCTGCCACCCTGCTCAAGGCCTTCCCCAGAGCACCCCCTCCCCAGCCACCCTGCAAGCCTCCTAGTCTAACTGCCCAGACTGCCCCAAGAGCCCCCAAGGGGCCGGCACTGCCACCACCCCCTCCCCTGCCTGAGCCCTTGACCACCTCACCCCCACCTCCTGCAATGCCCCCTCCACGAAGTCTGCTGGAGACGCAGTACCAAGACCTGAGAGGATGCCCCATATTCTGGATGGAAAAGGACATCTGAGGGCTACCCACGGGAAAGCACTGTCCTTCAGGGTCGATGGACTGCTTAGGACAGTACCAGCCTCAGCCCATTGGCCGTAGCTCAGTCCCTAGAACCTGGAAGCTGCTTGTTTCCTGAGCACCAGCGGGGCTGGGAGAGGCTCCACAGCTGGGGTTCGGAGCTGTCAGTGTGGCTGAATAAAGGCTTCTGATGGGTGCGGCTGTGACCGTTATTTGTTGACCCACCCCCACCTCCCATCCTTATCTTAGATTGCTGTCTCTGTAAGATCCTTGGGATCCACCTTGGCCCTGTGCCCTGGATGAAGGGAAGCCTAACCTTTGCTCCTCCCACTCTGCCAGGCCACTGTGACAAGGTGTCTGTTCCCTTCCACGTCACTCATCACCATTCACTGAGCACCTACTGTGTGTCAGGCCCTAGACTGGGCCCAGGCAATGGGGAACTAGACAGATAGGGCCTTGATCCTGCCACAGGCATACAGTGGCAGGATTTGTTGGGACGATGGGAACCTAAATACCCTCAGTCCATTTGGAAATCTGGAGGAGGTAATGTCACAGCAGAGATCTGAGTGCTAAGTAGGAATCAAGCCAGGCAAGGGGGAGGGTGTTTCGTGTTCCTGGGGCAGGGAACAAGATGGACGGAGGACAGAAGGGGACTGGTGAGAACTGTGAGCAGGCAAGGTGTCAGAGGGCACAGTGGTCCCATGACAAAGAGGGAGAGCATGGGAGGGGAGCTGCCCAGGCTGATGCATGGCGTGGCTGGTTTGAGGGGGCTAGAGGACTACAGGGGGGCCATGTTTTCCCCATCCCCTCATCCTTGTGGAGAATAGGTGGGGGAGTGTTCCTAGCTTTCCAGGCTGTGTGGAAGGTATGGCCATGGAATCGGACTCTAAGCTCACAGCTCCTCTCTCCTGCAGGTTTCCATCCCTGGGGCATGATCATGCTGCTGGGCCTGGCCCTAGCGCTCGGAGTGGCCCTGTGCCTAGGGTTTGGCCAGCCCCTGGTGTGGGCTCCTGAACGCCCCTTCTCTGTGCTGTGGAACATACCCTCAGCACACTGTAAGACGCGCTTCGGCGTGCACCTGCCACTAGAGGCCCTGGGCATCATAGCCAACCATGGCCAGCGTTTTCATGGCCAGAACATCACCATCTTCTACAAGAACCAGCTTGGCCTCTATCCCTACCTTGGGCCCGGGGGCACAGCTCACAATGGGGGCATCCCCCAGGTTGTCCCTCTTGACCGCCACCTGGCACGGGCTGCCTACCAGATCCATCGCAGCCTAGGACGTGGCTTCGCTGGCCTGGCAGTGCTAGACTGGGAGGAATGGAGCCCACTCTGGGCTGGAAACTGGGGCCGCCGCCGAGCCTATCAGGCAGCCTCGTGGGCTTGGGCACAGCGAGTATTCCCCGACCTGAGCCCCCAGGAGCAGCTCCATGAGGCCCGTGCTGGCTTTGAGCAGGCAGCCCGTGCCCTGATGGAGGACACACTGCGGCTGGGCCAAGCCCTGCAACCCCATGGGCTCTGGGGTTTCTACCGCTTCCCAGCCTGTAGCAATGGCTGGCATGGTATCGCTTCCAATTACACAGGACACTGCCACCCAGCTGCCCTCGCCCGCAACACCCAACTTCATTGGCTCTGGGCTGCCTCCAGTGCCCTCTTCCCTAGCATCTACCTCCCACCCAGGCTGCCACCCATCTACCACCAGGCATTTGTCCGAAACCGCCTGGAGGAGGCCTTCCGTGTGGCCTCTGTTGGACACCCACATCCTCTGCCTGTTCTGGCCTATGCCCGCCTCACACACCGGAGCTCTGGGAGGTTCCTGTCTCGGGTGAGTAAAAGCTGAGATCTAGGGGTCTGAGTGGGGAGGCATGAGTGGGGAGGCAAGGCCCTGTCCTAGGAATGACTGAAGAGAAGACCTTGCCCCAGGGGAATTTGATGGGGAGACTCTGATCTAGTTCTTCCTGGGAGGTCCCATCCTGGAGCATCTGAAAAGGAAGTTTGGCTCTGTCTTGGAATATCTTGAGGGGGAAAGCAAGCCCAGCCTTTGGAGCCCTCGTCTGAGGAGAGACATCTTCTGAGTGGAGGACCTGAGAAGCCACTTAGAGGCTCAGTGCCAAGGAATCTTACTCTAGATGTGAAATCAGATCACGGCGATGAGCCAGAAAAGTTTCTCAAAGGTGGAAGTAGGCTCAGTTGGATCCGGCCAGCTCAGCCCTGGCTTAGCTCTTCTTTGCCTCCAGGATGACCTTGTGCAGACCATTGGTGTGAGCGCAGCACTCGGGGCAGCCGGCGTGGTGCTCTGGGGGGACCTGAGCTTCTCCAGCTCTGAGGTGAACATTGTCCCTCCAACCTGCCATGCAGCCCACGCTAGAGTCCCAGGGTTGGGGAAAGGACCATGTCACAGCCACGGAGCAGGAGCACTGATACATCATTCCCCTCTCTTCAGGAGGAGTGCTGGCATCTCCATGACTACCTAGTGGGCACCCTGGGCCCCTATGTAATCAACGTGACCAGGGCAGCCATAGCCTGCAGTCACCAGCGGTGCCATGGCCATGGGCGCTGTGCCTGGCAAGATGGAGGACAGCTGGAAGCCTTTCTGCACCTGCAGCCAGATGGCAGCCCTGGACCCTGGGAGTCGTTTGGCTGCCGTTGTTACCGGGGCTGGGCTGGCCCTACCTGCCAGGAGCCCAGGCCTGAAGAAGCAGCATAAAGCCAGAAGTTATCTGCTCCTGTGTCTCTTGTCCCTGCTGCCATATGTCTCTTGTCCCTGTCCCACACTTGTTCTATTCAGTTTATACTCAGTCCTCCCATACACACCCCCCACTTCCCATGGGACCCCTGGGAAGTGGAAGGGGCCAGAAAAAAATGGTTTACACCATTTTACCTTATTATTATTATTTTGCTTGCACCATTTCAAAACCAAAGGTCCTCTGAGATCACTGGATCCCTTCTGATAAGAAAGCAGCCCAAGGGAGAGTCAGCGTTTCAGATGGTTAGGGTTGCCAGCCCAGAGCTCTGTTCCAACTCCTCACCAAGTCCATGGAAAGGTCATAGGAGACCCAACCAGGGACAGGAAGGCTCCAAGATCTCGGCTAAGGTCTGTAAGTGCTAAGCTGTTGTCTTTCCTCTGCTTCATCATAAAGTCACTTTTTCTTTCACTGCCTAAGGTTTGACTGTTTACTCGGTTCTACCAAGCCCCACGCTCTTCCTGTGGCGAACGTCCAGCCTCAAGTGCCAAGAAATGCCGGTCCTGCCTGCCGTGGTAGGGGGCTCCAAGGCCGCAGCTTCAGAGTTAATGACTGTGCTGAGAAGCACATGGACACGGGAGGAGGGGGTGGGTGTCCGCAGGGCATTGTGGGTGCGTAGTTCAGCGAGAGCGTCGTGGGCTTTTGGGTCTCGGGAGTACACTACAATTCCCGAGATGCTCTGCGCCCAGCAGGCCGGCAGTCATCTGCGCGCACAGCGCCCTGGGACTAGTAGTTTCAGCCGCGTGGATGTGGGCCTGAACCCAATGGCCAAGAACTCGCATTCCCGGCCACCCGTTTAGCAGGGCGGGGCGCTCCGACCCGTTTGGCAGGGCGGGGCGCCTCGCGAAGATGGTGTCGCGTGTGGCGTGTGGCTCCCGTCGTCTGCCCAAGTCTCAGCTTAGCCCAGCGGTCGGCGTCTCGCCGGTCTGGAACCCTCACCCGCCAGGTCCCTGACCCCGCGCCCTCTGCGCGCCCGCGCTCCTGATTCCCGGCATGCCCCGCGCCCGTAAGGGCAGCGCGCCCCGCAAGGGCGCCCAGCGCCGCGGAGCGGGTAAGTGGGGAGCAGCTAGTGAACCGCGAGCCGGGTCCTGCGTGGCTTTCCCGTCGGTGTCCTGGAGGGTTCTGAACAGAGACTTCTGCCTCGACCAACCTGGCGCTGCGTCCCGCAACTCCCCCGCCGTTGGCACGTGCCCCAGGAGGCAGCGGCCACGTGGGTGTCCAACTCGAGCGCACTGCTTGCAGCTCAGGAGCTCGCCTTACCGGCCCTAAACCGGTGGGCGCCTCCCCGCCTCAGTTTCCCGCATTGCTGTCGCACCCCAGTTGCTTCCTATGGTGGACAAACCGCCGAACAGAGCAGGAAGCCTGTCCCCCTCGCCACTCCCTGGTGCTTTCCTGGACTGGACTAGGAAATTGGAGGGAGGCCTACCCTGCCGGGGAGTACTGAGGGGGCCGGCTATAGGGTAGTTGCAGGATTACGGCTTTGGTGGGCCTGGCACGAGAGGGTTGGGGAGGGCCCTGGAGCCTGAGGCGGCTCTGAGACTTATCAGCTTCCAACAGGAGTGTGTTTTGGTGCAGTAAACACATATGTTTACTCTTCAGGAATGGGGTGCCTGCTACGCACAGCTCAGACTTGGCCACAACCCTAACAGGACTTGGGTGTGGGGCTATCTAAGAGGGTAGCGACATTCCAGAAGGGTTGGTGCTGTGGGATAAGTTCATTAAATGGTGTCAGCTCCACACTTAGAAACCAAGGAATTCTCGAGGGACTTGTGGGTGAATCCCGAGAAGGTGAAGAAGAGAGCGCTATGCAGAGGGAAAAAGTTATGCCAAGCCCTGGCATCTGGAGGGAGCACATGAGGGAGGCTGGGCTGCTTTGGCTGATTAGGGTAGTAAGAGAGGAGGTGAGGAGAGGCCTGGATGCATGCTCAACTTTGTCCAGCAGGCACATGGAGTATTTAGTTCCTGAGAATTAGGACCAGCCTGGTGACCAGAACCCATCTGGGGCTCTGCTGCAGCAGCTGCCCTTACCAAAGTCAGCCCCTGGCCCTGGGCAGAACCCACACACAGGAGTGTACGTTTTGCTGACCCTGACATTCTCTTTTGTTTACCTATTTTCAGGGACTAACGAGGTCAGGGGCCACTCCACTTTCTGCATTTCCCAGGATCAGGAGGGTGCTGTGTGTCCATTCACCCAAAGCTAAAGGCCTGGGATGGTCCAGGGGGGGATCTCAGAAGACAGTATGCTTGAAGCCTGGGGCAGCCACCCACATCCACTAGGAGCTGGTCTTCTGCCCCAGGGCAGATAGGTGATGTTGGCCCACAGAACAGCCATAACTAGTTGTTTAGTTATTATCTTCATTTGCTATACCAAAAGAGCCCTTTAGCATCTCTGTTTTGCACATGAAGAAATTGAGGGGGTAAAGGCTAGGTATTTGATTTGGTTACACCCCTTTTAAGATAGGGAGCTGGAATTTGAACCCTGTGTCTGTATGTATTCTATATATACAGATCCTATAATTAAGCCCCTGACCTATGCCCTGGCCATTTTTAGGCATAATCTGGGCGAGTAGCTGAGCTCCCCCAGGATTTGCCTAGTAATAACCCCACTCCAGGCTCAGCCACAGGCCTAGGTGGGGCCTGTGCAGCCCTGTCTACCGCTACCAGGCTCTCAATCTCCGTAAAGCAGGCTGTAGTCTCAAGGAGGCTCTACTCACCAAGCCTGCCGGGTTTTCCTCGGCTGGACCTCACGCCTGATGTTCTCCAGCTGATGGACCTCATTTCCCTTTCTCCTCCTTCCTGGCTCAGTGTCCCCTGAATCAGCCCCGGTGCCCCCTGCCACAGTCTCTGTTTCCCCATCTCTGAAAGGGGCAGGATTTTATTCTCGTGGGCTCATGAGGTTGGGTAAGGTACCCCCCAGCCGTCCCTCATCAATGGAGGCAGGCCAGGTGCTGCCACAAATGTGTCCAACCTTTCCCAGGTGCCCGGAGCAGTACCCAGGCTGACTCAGGTTCCAGTGAGGACGAGGCCGTCAGTGAGGCCCGCAGCACCACCAGTGAATGCCCCAGCCTCCTTAGCACTGCAGCCGAGGACAGCCTTGGTGAGAGCGGGTGGGAGGTGGCAGGGCCTCTGTGGGGATTCCCTGGGATGGGTCAAGACATAGGGCTGACCCGCTGACCTTGCAGGGGGGGATGCCGCGGAGGAGCAGGGCCAGCAGGAAGACCTTGAGGAGAAGTTGAAGGAGTATGTGGACTGCCTCACAGATAAGAGGTATCCCTGACTGCCGGCCAACCCCCATACCCGTGTCCCTGCTCAGCCCATGCCAAGTGTGACCCAGTAGGGCTGGCCCACAAGGTCCCCTCTCTTCGTCCCCCAGTGCCAAGACCCGGCAGGGTGCTCTTGAGAGCCTTCGCCTGGCCCTCGCATCCCGCCTACTCCCCGACTTCTTGCTGGAGCGCCGCCTCACCCTGGCTGATGCCTTGGAAAAGTGCCTCAAGAAAGGTTGGGCCCTGGGGGCTCAGGGGAGACCTGAACTGGCTGGGTGCTGACCCTCGCTGCATGGGCTGACCGGAAAGCATTCCTCCAGGGAAGGGCGAGGAGCAGGCGCTGGCCGCTGCTGTGCTAGGCCTGCTCTGCGTGCAGCTGGGCCCTGGACCCAAGGGCGAGGAGCTCTTCCACAGCCTGCAGCCCCTCCTGGTGTCTGTGCTCAGTGACAGCACAACCAGCCCTGCTGCCCGGCTCCACGTGAGTGTTTCAGGCTCTGTGACCCCCTTCCATCCCCTAGTCCCCAAGCAGAGAAGTGGGTTCCACCTGCCTTCAGGCTCCCCTACTCTAAGGGTGAGCCCTGTGGCCAGGAACCCAGGCTCACTCTCTGATTGTGGCATGGCTTTGCCCCCCTTCCCACAGTGCGCTTCTGCTCTTGGCTTGGGGTGCTATGTTGCTGCTGCCGATGTCCAGGTAAGTCGCCTCCGGGCACAGGTAATAGAGCACCTAGGCCCTGGCTCTGCCCCTGAGCCATTCCCACTGGCTCCCTCTGTCCCTAGGACCTGATGTCTTGCCTCAACTGCTTGGAAAGCGTTTTCAGCCGGTCCTGTGCCGTGGGTGGCTCCACAGTCCCTGTGGTCCCCACCAGCCAGCATGGCCTGCTCTGCGCTGCCCTGCAGGCCTGGGCTTTGCTCCTCACCGTCTGCCCCAGTGCCCATATCAGCCACATCCTGGACAGGTAAGAGTGACTGTTCACTGTGAGTGGGAGGGGAAAGGCAACAAGGCCCCAGCCCACACATAGCTCAGCCTGCCCCTTCCCCAGGCAGCTGCCCCGGTTGCCCCAGCTCTTGTCCAGCGAAAGCGTGAACCTGCGAATTGCTGCTGGCGAGACCATCGCACTACTCTTTGAGCTTGCCCGGGACCTTGAGGTGTGAGGCGGAGTGGGGGAAGGGAAGGGAGGGGGGCCTCCTGACACCACCTGTCCAACCTAGGCTGGATGCAGGGGACATCACAGAAGTTAGGGCAGCCCTAGGTCGTGACAGAGGGGAGGTCACCCTAACACAGACTCAGACGCCGGGTGCTGTGGTGGGGGCTCTGAGAGGGGTGTCTGGCCCTGGCCAGAGAGGGGCCAGGAAGGGATTCAAGGGGGCCAGGCAAAGGAGGAAACCACTTCGGCCGTGAGAGGAACAGCCCCATGCTGAGAGCGTGCAGGGCCTGGGCTTCTGCTCACACACCCTCCGTTGCTCCTGCTGCAGGAGGATTTTCTGTACGAGGACATGGAGGCCCTCTGCAGCGCCCTGCGGACCCTGGCCACCGACAGCAACAAGTACCGTGCCAAGGCTGACCGCCGGCGGCAGCGTTCCACCTTCCGAGCCGTGCTGCACTTCGTTGAGGTACGTGTGAGCGCGTGTGTCCTGGTGAGAGTGCTCCCTGGACACAGCTGCCGAGCCCTGTTCTGTGGGTCCCCCTATGCTGCAGGGCGGGGAGTGTGAGGAAGAGTCCATCCGCTTCGGCCTCGAGGTGCTCTATGTGGACAGCTGGGCGCGGCGCCGTGCCTATGCTGCCTTCAAGGACGTGCTGGGATCGGGCATGCACCACCACCTCCAGGTGGGAGGACAGACGGGGAGGGGCTGCCCAGCTTGGCTCTTGTGGACCAGCCTTAGCTCACTGCCCGTTTCATCCCCCAGAACAACGAGCTCCTTCGTGACATCTTTGGCCTGGGCCCTGTGCTGGTGCTGGATGCCGCCGCCCTGAAGGCCTGCAAGATCTCACGTTTTGAGAAGGTTTGCACCCTCGGGCACCCTTCTCTTCCCCACGTTCCCGTGGCCTCAAGGCCCCGAGCTCTGCAGGGGCTGGAGGAAAGGGCTTGGGCCTCCCCTTCCCTGGCTCACCAGAGCCCCGCTCGCTGCCCCCACTCCAGCACTTGTACAACGCTGCTGCCTTCAAAGCACGGACCAAGGCACGCAGCCGCGTGCGAGACAAGCGGGCAGACCTCCTCTGAGGCGGGGCCAGCAGAAGAGACTGTCCACACCCGTGCCTGTGTTTTTAACAGAAGACACTGCAACAACTTGTCCCTGCCAGGAATCACCGCTTTATTTTTTTAATGACAAAACCAAAAACAGACATGGGGATGGGGTGGCCAGAGGCCAGGGCAGTTGGGATCCTGGCCCCTTGCCCCTGCCCACAGCGCTGTGGCCTCTCCCTGCCCTGTCCCAGGCCTGGCCAGATGTGTGCTTATCCCAGAGCTGTAGGGCACATGGTAGGAGGGCTGTCCCTTGCTCTCCTTCCTCGGGCCCTGCTCCTCTGGGATGACCCACGTCCTTGAGGGGAACAGCATCTGCCAAATGGCACCAAAACAGGTGGGGACACGAGGGTGCCTGGAATGGATCTATATGCTGATTTTTAAAGATTATTAGAGATAATTAAACTGAATGCTCAGCCTTCTGCGGTCATTAGCTCTGGTTATTTCTGCCTGCCTCCCGTCTGCTGTCCCCGTGGGCCCTGCACCATCTCCATCTCATCTTTGCCTTCTAAGACCGTCTCCTCAGGTGGCCGTCCTCCCCATCCTCAGAGCTCTCCTGCTTGAGTGCTGAGGCTGGATCCCTGCTGGGAGGCCTGGCAGAGTTTGGGCAACTGGGGTGGGGGCAGCTATTTCTAGATTTGAACCTATGTCTGGGGGAAGCCAGAAGCTGCTGACAGGCCACAGAAGGAGCCAGGAGGTTGGTATTGCTTCCTCTGACCTTGGGCCACGCAAACCAGGGCCTTGGCACCAGAAAACCTGGCCAGCCCTGGCCTGAAGACAGGAGAGGCGGGTAGCATGTGGTCAGGTCAGACTCTGGTACAGAAACCTCACCAAGGAAGTAGTGCAGAACGGTGGGTCAGGAGAAGCCTGCCTTGGCCACTTTATCCCAGCCCCCCCCCATCCCCAAGACCTAGTCCCAGTGGTGTCTCAGCTGGGTGCGGGGGCCTCGCTGGAGTTGAGTCTGCGCAGCTGGCTGAGGCTGGCCAGCCGGAGCCTGAGGAGCGTCTCTTCCTGGGTGCGCAGGGTGTGTGCCAACACGCGAAGAGACTCGCTCTGCAGCACTGGGGACAGGTGGGAATGAGGGGATCATCAGACCTCATGCCACCCCACAGCTCCCCACCCTTTGCTGCCTCGGCCTCAGCAGCTGCTCCCTCCAACCATGCAGAAGGAAGTGCCTTCCAGGCCCTGCTCCTCACCCTCGGTCCCCACTTGCTACCCACACCATCCATCTGTCTGTCCGTACCGCTCAGATAGACAGCCAGAATGGCGAGCACCAGGCAGGTGAGCACCAGCAGTGCCAGTATAATCAGAAAGCTTCCCCGGCCTTGCAGGGGACCGCAGCCAGCCTGGGCACACAGTGACGGGGGCAAGATGCCCAGCAGCTCGTCCCATGGCTGCGCCTCCTCGGCCAGGTAGGGGCGCAGCGAACCTGGGGGGCAGATGGGGCATCAGGAGGGTAGGGGGTGTACCTGCCCTCCTCCCCTCTCCCAGTACGTCAGTCCCGCCGCCCTGTCCCCCTCACCTCCACTGTGCAGGTCACTGATGGACTCTACCCGGTGCAGCCGCACCTCCTGTGTGTAGCTGGGGGCCAGTGGTGCCCTGCTCCTGGGGCTCGCTGTCAGTGCCACAGTGTCTGCTGGGACAGGGCAGGACTGATTCAGCCAGCAGGCCACCACCCCCTCCCTTCTTTGAGGTGGCTTCCAGCAGCAGCAGGGACTCAGAGAAGATGGGAAAGGACAAAGGGAGTTTGGCTCCAAATGCCCCAAAAACTGACTCAGAAATGATCCTTGTTTGGGAACCAGGATGACCTCGGAGCCCCTTGGGCCTGGTAACACCCACGACAGCAGGAGGTACATCTGACTTGCTCGATTTGGCTCCCCACCTCCCCCAGCAAGCACCGGAAGGACTTTCAGGCATTCCTCTGCCTGCTCATTCCTAAAGAGTTATCAGCCTTGGAGAGCTCAACTGACGGCGCATGAAATTTCATCCCTGCTTCTGCTATCACTTTGCCCTGCAGACCCTATGAAGTAGTCACCAGGCCAGACCCATTGTCTGGCAACTTTGCATGCCCCACAGAAGCACCCCTTTCCTAGCTGGGTGCCACCTGTCCCCCAGGGCCTGCTTTAACGGCCTCTGAGATCTGTGATTCAGCTGTACTTCTGTGAACCCCGCTGTTTTCACTCAGCCTTGTAACAGGAGACCTGCCTTTGTTATCAAGCTGTTCCACATGTTCCAGCAGCCTCCCTTTGAGGCTGCCTGGGCATTTAGGTTGTTTCCAGTTCCCTTCTGAAGCTAATAACCCCTAGGAAAGGACATGCATCAGCAAGTATGAAGGTTTTTCCCAATTTCCTAATTGTTAATAAGGACAGATTACTAGAAGCAAAGCTACTGGCTTAAAGAGCAGGGGCTTCTTCTTTAAGCCATCATCAAACTGCCCTCCAGAATGGCTGTCCATAGCCCCCAGAAGGGTATATCACCACCTTTAGGCCTTTTCACTGAAAAAAAAAAATTACATACATACATGTGTACACGTATGTTTGCCAAACTGGGAGATGAGGAAAGGCCTTCCTTGACCTGTTTGATTGGTTTTTTTTTTTAAGATTTTATTTATTTATTTGACAGATCACAAGTAGGCAGAAAGGCAAGCAGAGAGGAGGAAGCAGGCTCCCTGCTGAGCAGAGAGCCTGATTCAGGGCTCGATCCCACGACCCTGAGATCATGACCTGAGCCGAAGGCAGAGGCTTTAACCCACTGAGCCACCCAGGTGCCCCTTGATTGGGTTTCTTTGCCTGGAATACCTTCCTTATCCATTCCCAGCCTCTGCCCACTTAGTCACTGGGGTATCTGTACTTTTCTTGTGATTTCACTGATTTTTAAACCCATCAAAAATATTTTGTGATTTCTAAAAAGTATATTTTACTTTTTTTTTTTTTTTTTTTAATAATCTTGGCTCTTTATACCTCCAGATACCCAGCTGGACGCTAAATAACAAAGCAGGGGGGGCACTGAGGGAATGCCTGCTGATAGGGGCAAGGGTGACTGGGCCCTGTCTGTCACTTTCAGAACAAGAACTCAGCCTTCATGATTTGCTTGAAATTGGCCCTTGAGATGCCTCAGAGCAGAAAGAGATGCTGCTAGTCACGTCTGGGTGATGGGTTGGGGGTCACAGTAAATTCCTCTCTGCAGCTGGCTCTGCTTTCCCCACTTTTTAAAAATAATATTTACCTATTTGAGAGGGAGTGTGTGTGTACACACAAGCAGGGGGAGGGGCAGGAGAGGGAGAGAATCTCAGGCAGGCTCCAACACCCTGCTGAGCACAGAGCCCGACAGAGGGCTCATCTCGCCACCCTGAGGTCATGACGTGAGCAGAAATCCAGAGTTGGGTGCTTAACGGACTGAGCCACCCAGGTGCCCCTTCCCCACCCTTCCTAAGTTGAACTCGGATTCTGTTCATTCCCAGGAGAAAGCTTGATAAACGTTGTTTGGACCCCAGAAGGAGGCAAACATCTCCCATCACTACTGGGGGCTGGGCACCCCGCCCCCATCCAGCTGAAATGTTGAAAATGTGGTAAGGGAGTTGACCGGCTGGGCCAGAGAATCGTGGGGCAGCTGGTCAGCCCTGTTCTGGCCCCACTGAACCTCTGTACTTGGGTGCAATGGGGCACTTAGGCGAGTGGCCACCAAAGGCCTAACTAGCTCTAAGCTGGGCCAGGCCAAGGGATCCCAACTAGCCAATAGTTAGGTCCATTTTAAGCTCAAGCTGGAGGAGGCCGGAGATCTACCCACTCCCAGTCTCTGGGCCACATGCCCAAAGGCTTCCTGGAACAGCCTGCCCGGATCCCAGCTTCCTCCATGAATGAAGAGTCTAGCTGGCCAGGCGTCTGCCCTGCCCACACCCACTTGGGCACAGCCTATAGTTGACCAGGTAGCTCCCCCCAACCCCTCCCTGTCCTTAGCAGGGGAGACAGGCAGGGCCGGAGAGGACGTGGGATTCCAGATGTGGTAAGCCCTCTCTCCATGCACAGGGGGTAGGTCCCTTTACTCAAGCTGGGACATGGTGACTGATGACTAGCCAAGGAAGTGAGGTCAATGGGATGAGGCAGGGCTGCTCCAGAGTCCACAGGGTCACAGGACAGGGGACTTGCCCTCCCCCATTAATGCTCTCCTACCTTCCTGGGTCTCCTCAGGCATGGCGGGCGGTGGACAGTTGGGGGGCTGATAATAACACCCAGTAGTACGACAGGATGAAGGCAGCAGTGGCTCCTCACAGCCTGGAAAGGCTAGCTACCTCCCAGCCCAGGCCTAAAATAGGCCTGAGCTCAGCCCACTGGGCTATATTTAGAGGGGGCAGCCCTCAGCCCTGGGAATGGGTAGAGTGACCCAGTGGGGACTATCTAGCTGGTGATGGAGCCCAGACCAAAGTACACCTCCACTAATGCAGGTGCCCAGGGTCTTTCCTGGGGAACTCTGCCACCCCCGTATATGTACAGGCCTTGGTGTCTTTACCCAGACAAGCAGCCTCACGCTCACCTCCAGCAACGCCCCTCAGGGCAGCTGAGACCTGAGCCTCTCTACCCCCAAAGACCTCTACTCAAAGCTGGGTCATCTCTACTCCAAACCGATGGACAAGCACCTAGCCCTGTGTGACCTGCTGGCCCCAGGGACTGGGGTGATGGATAACAAGCCAGGGACATGAGGGCCCCCAGAGGGGGCGGAGACACACCTACACATGCAGGTACTCATGCTGGTCAGTGGGCAAACTTAGATTGAAGATTGGTATTTCTGTTAATAAGCTTACAAGCTGGGGGAAGGGATTGCCCCCTCTCTGACCTCCATTTCCTCATCTCTAAAACAGGAATGACAATGGTTCCTCCCTGGCACAGGACACAGGAGGATGGAAATACAGCCACATGTCAGAAGCACTTAGCACATGCAGTTTAGAACCTTCCTACTCTCCAAGGGTATACAAGTCACACACGGTGTATGAGGAGGCATGGTACCACTTACCCTTGAAGGGAGGAAGTGGCCGATCTTAGGGCCCGCACTCTGCTATTGGACCCCTGAGGCCCTCCTTCCCAACTGGGACAAAGCAAGACAATGAGCTCTACCTCCTTAAACATCCCAAATCCATCACTTCACTGTATCCCTGGCCTCCTTGATGTTCCTTGAGCACAGCAACCTTGTTTCTTACCCTGGCTGTTCCTTCCAAGAAGGCTCTCCCCTGGATACTCCCGCAGCTGGCTCCTTGTTTAGCTCAAATGTCACCCCCTCATTGATGCTTTCTTCCATTATTTTACATATCACCCAATTGCATTTTCTTCATAGCACTCAGCCAAGAAATTCTATTATTCAGAATACACTGTGTATGTCAGTAGGACCCCGAAAGGCCCACAGAATCCCCTCGGTCACATGGAAACCATCTTTAATCCTCACCACAGCATCCTTAGCAGAAACTGAGGTCTAGAGACCACGAAGAAGTTGCCCAAGGCCACACAGCAAGATCTAGCACCAGCGGTTGCGTGCTGGGGCCGCTCCAGCTTCGGCTGATAACGTGTTTATTGCATTAGTACAGTCGGCCTGCCCCACCCCCACCCCCACCCGCTCAGCCTGTTCACAGCTTTCTGCTCATCCCCCAGGGAGGAGGGCCTTCCCCGAGGGTGGCACTCCGGGCACCTCCTCCGCCCAGGTCGTTGCTCTGGAGCCCGCATCTCTGCCTCCTCGCGACCAGCAGGACCCCGTGCCCGGCCTGGGCCGTCCCTCCCAGGGCTACATTCAAAGGTTATCCTCTGTTAATAAATAAGCTGGCGAGGCAGCCCCTCGGCCAGGGCCTGTCGGTCGGTCGGTCGGTCTCCATCGGCCGGGGACCAGTGTGCAGGGCCCCGTAGCCGTGGGTCCCCCAGGGTCTGTACTCCCGCTCCTGCCTGGAGTCGCCTTCCCTGTACCCAGCCCGGAGGCCGAATCACCAGTGCGCCGCGCTGCGGGGCCCCCGCTCTGCGCGCGGCTCGGGGGCGTGCCTTCGGCGGTTTCGGCCCTTCCTCCGCGATTCGGGAGGCGGTGGGCGCGACTCGGGCTGCAGACGACACATTCGCAGGGAGCTAGCGCCACCGCCGCCCGGCTCCACCAGCTGCAGGAAGTCCCGGTACCAGAGCTTGGGGCCTGGAGGGGCGACGGGCGCAGCCTCCTCGGTCCGGGCCAGCCTTTCGGCCTGAGCGGCACTCAGCACGTGTAGCGCCAGGCGACGCAGCGGCTGCGAAAAGCCCTGCTCCACAGCCGCGCACAGGTACACGCCTGAGTCCCCGCGCCGCAGCCCGCGCAGCAGCAGCCCCCGCGTCACGCGCTCGGCGCGCTCCTCCGCAGCCACCTGCAGGCCGGGCCAGCGGGAGGCGGGGGCGTCAGGGTCGGGAACAGCGAAACCCGGCTCCAGGACCGGCCGGGAGATGCAGAGGGTCACCAGCGGCCGAGCAGGAGTAGGATAGAGGCGCCCGCAGGGGCACGTTCGGAGGCTGGGGTCACTGGGACCGGTGGTCTGAGAGGGGATCCCCGTACCGGGCAGGACATGGGGGGCGGCGCAGGGAGCGCAACAGGAGGAGCGAGGGCGCGACTCCTCTCGGACAGGGGCGGGGGGGCTGGGTCTGGAGTGAGAGGCCTCACCGGGATGCGGCGTGCAGGGAAAGGACCAGGCCTCACCCGGGGGCGGCGTGCAGGGAAGGGACCAAACCAGGGAGAGGGGCAGGTTAGGCGGAATCTCACTGGGCGGGGCTGCACCTCGTCTACAGGTGGGAGCCGGCCGAGGGCCTCATTGGCTAGGGCGGGGCCTCTCCTGAATGTAGGGGCGGGGCCAGGGCGCGTTGAGGAGCCCCGCGGCGGGAGGCTCACCTGGGTGCGGGCCGCCTCCCCCGCGCGCTGGAAGGTCCATTCCACGCGTGCCTGCAGCGAGCGGGGCTCACACTCTAGGAAGGCGCTGCCGCCCTCCACCCCGAACACCTTCCACTCCAGCAATGTGGGATGGGACGAGTCTGGGGAGGGCAAGGGATTGTCAGATTCAGGCAGGGCAGGGCAGGCCGTGGCGTCTTCGAAGGCCGCTAAGTCGGGGCAAGCTGGGGCACTCACCCCCGGAGCACAGCGTACTGGGGTCGCCGTTCTTCACGTCTTGCCGCCGAAACCGCCTGCGGGGAGCAGGGCACGTGGAACTTCCATGAGCTCTTCTTCCTTCAGCCAGCCAGGTGCCACAAAGGACTCCGGATGGCCCGCCCCCGACCCGGCCCACCTTTTAGCGCTGGGCTGGAAGCGCGTGCACGCGGCCCCGTCCCAGGCGCAGTAAGGGTCACGCGCCAGGCAGCATTCGGCGCAGGCACGGCCATGGGCAGCGCAGCGGTGCAAGGGGATCTGGGCCACTGCGCTCCGTGAGGCAACGTACAGCTGGTGCTAGGGGGCACGAGGGGCTCCGGGCTGACCGAAGGCAGCTCCGTGCCCGCCTCCCACAGGTCAGAGATCCCTTACCCCACTTGACAGATGGGAACACTGAGGTCTCAGGTCACGCAGTCTAGCGAAGGCAGAACCTATTCTCAAACCCGGGATTCGAACTACCAAGGGAGGCATGGGGGTTGGGGCACTCGGGGAATGCACTGGGTCCCTTTTACCCCCAAGCCTTCTGGTCACTTACTCTCTTGGAAGAGATTTGCATGCTGGTGATAGCAGCGGAGTCCTGAGAGGGAGAGGGAGCACTGGGATCAGGGATCAGTGGGGTGGGGTTACTCCAGGCAGGGGCGGCATGGAGGCTGAGGTGGGGAGAATGGGGGGAGGCTAGATCTCACCTCAAATACGTGCAGCTCCTCCAAGAGCAGCCCCTCCCCGTTAGGCCGGCTGCCGTTGGGGACCGAGATCACCTTCAGCACTGTGCCAGCATCTGCAAGGATGAGGAGTGAGTGACTGACTCCTTGCATTCCCTGATAGCTAGGGCTGGAGGTCTCCTCACTTCTGAGCCTTTACCCTCAGCATGGTTGGGTCAGTGAAGAATGTGGGTTGGAAGAATAAGAGCAGCATCCAGAAGGAGATGGGGGCATAACCCGGGCAAAGATGCGAAGGTGAGCCTGGACAGGGGCAGCTTCAGTAATGGGCAGAGTCTAGACTGGGTTTAATGAATGGTCATGGCAGGCCACTGACCTGTGCCAATGAAGAGGACGTCGTAGTGTCCGTCAGCAGCTGCCACACGGTCTGCAGTGATCTGGGTGAAGGTGTATCCGGCACCCACTTGTAGGAAGAGAGGGCGCCCACCCACGGGCAGGACTGAATTGTACATGAGAGGGTGGTTCCGGGCAAACTGAATGACGTCATCAGGGAAGTCCTTGGTAGAACTGAAGGTGCCAAAGGTCTTGCTGGGGCACTGGGCGGTGGGGAGGAGGCGCGACAGGGATGTGGGTATGAAGATCTGGTGGGCCCACAAGAGACCTCCAGGAACTGGGAGTGGGACTGCTAATGGATAGAGCCTTGCCCTGGGACTCTGAAGAGAGAAGACCCAGCCCTGCCTTTGGGAGTCTTAGGGAGAAATATGGCCTTGCTTTTAGAAGCCTGTCTGATCAAATTGATGTTTATCCACCCATAACAAGAGGAAGAAACCACATTCACCAAGAAGATCCCAGACCAGATTCTCCACCCCTGAGACTTCGAGCAGGTTGTGGTGGGAATCCTGGGGCTACGCACCATGCCTGGCCGGGGGTAGGGGACACGGCCCTGATAGGACACCCACTGGTGCAGGGGCCCTTCCTTGTGTGCAAAGGGCCCCAGAAAGGCACGGCGCACGTCGTTCATGCTATACACGCACACTGCAGAACCTTGGAAGACGGTGCTGTGGGCGAAGGCATGAGTAGAGTGAGGGGCCCAGCAGAGCCAGGCCAGTCCCTCCCACGACCTCCCGACCCTCACCTGGATGTGGAGAACACGGCATAGAGCAGCGGGCTCCAACGGTCCCTCAAGGACAGCAGGAACACATCCTCTGTGGGGAAGGGGCCCAGTTGGGGGAGGGCACACAGCCCTCAGGGTGGCTGGGCTCCTGGGTCTGGGGCACTGCGCTCCCTTTCCCCACCTCCACCCTCCTCCTGGCACTCACGGAGCTGGTCGAAGTGCGTGTCACCCTCTGCACCGGGCACGGAGCACACCAGCCGTGCCTTCAGGAACGTGGTCCACTTGTTCACCAGGCTGCGCTGGCCACCCACATCATTCTGCGGAGCCAATCAGAGGGTGTGAGGGGGAGCCCCAAAGAGGCAAGAGGGCAGGGGGGTGGTCACAGGCTGTGGCCCAGGGACTCCTCACCCGACAGATCTGGCCAACACGGGACACGGACAGGCGCCCCAGTGCTGGTGCAGCTTCCACTGCCGACTCACGGAAGAAGAAATAGATCTTGTCATCATCGGGATTCTCGCTCTCTGGGATCCAGAAGACCTTGACAAACTTGGGCTCTAGCAGCAGGAGGTGTGAAGTCAGCATTCCCTCATGAGACCCATACACTCTCTCTCCTAACTCCTAACTCTGCTGCCTCCAGAAGCCTGCCAGGCAGCATCTGAGCACCCAGTCTCTAGGATCAAGTTCATTGGGATGGCCCCGCAAGTTCACGCGATCCAGATGAGGGCCTGTGAGTCAAGAAGCAGCCACAAGAGGGCAGCAGAGACCGAGACTACCTGGAGAACCCACCTCAGCCCCGCAGCTCCCCAGGCCAGCTGGCCAGGAAAGGAGGGAGATGGCCAATCAGTTGTACCTTCACTCACGGATCCTACTCTTGAACAGGAGGCAGGAGCCCCCGTTCTCCTCACTCTTAGAGCAAGTGATTCAGCCCCTGATGGTGGAGACCCCTTATCCTCTCCTGCGTCTAATCCTTGGTTTGTTCCTGCGCCAGATTCTTTGCTCTAGTTGCTCTTTCCCTCCATCCTGCGGGGCATTTGGAATCAGCTCAGCCCCACTCCCCAGCAGACTGGCTTCCTTTCTCGTTCTCCCACCTGGTCTCCTTTTCCCGTTCTGTCCGTGCATTGAACAATCTCATGGCCATTGGAACTGATCTTACGATGTATTCGTTCTGAGTTCTGTGAACTCAAAGAGGGCGGAGGCCCCATGTCTTGTCTGCCCTACAACCCCAGTCCCTGGCACAAGGCTGGACCCATACTAGCTACCTGGTGGGACCCCGGCTGCACCCACTGCTCACTTCTGTTATGGGCCTTCCTTGGCACCTACCCTGTGGGGGCCAAGGGCCCCCTCCCCAAAACCCCACCAGCCTTTCACCATTGAGCCAGCGGGAGTCATGTGGTTCTGTT